GTCAAACTCCAAGAATTTTTGCAACCACAATTTTAACCTTTCACCGTAGGACTTCATTTGGCTTACGACTCCAGAGACTCTAGTGAGAAAATCTTGCACTGTTTCTCCTTCCTTCATATGCGCAGTTTCTAAATCACGTCTGAGAGTTTGAAGCTTCACGGTAAGAACCTTCGCAGATCCTTGAAATGCCATTTTCAAGGTGTTCATGCTTCGTTTGATGTTGAAGCTGATGAAATCTTCGAAAAGATTGAGTCATGGACTGCTTGTTGTATGAAGAACAGCGCCTTGGAATATTTTTTCTTATTCTCCCCCAATATCGCTTCATCAGGATCTTGCTCCAAGTATCCGGTCTCGACAAAGTCCCACAGATCATGGGACTTGAACAGCGTTTTCATCTTAATGCTTCAAAATTCATAATTTTCGCCCGAAAGAATTGGAATTTCCGGCTGCAAGATGCTCAATCCGGAGTTGTTTGCCATATCTATGCTCTGATACCAAAATTGCTGCGAATCAAGAGAGAAATTGTCACCAAACTAGGTTGTAGACAATGGAGAAGAACAGAGGAGAGACGAGAGGCCCTGCAGAGTCTTTTGGATAAACTTCAAAGACCTTTTAATTATTCAATGGGAAACATCTAAATATATTGAGATTACATTCCAAATAAACATGGAATAATTATTAGTCAAATTCACCTTCTTAAACTAAATATAGTAAATAATAAATATAAAATATATCCAAATTATTTTTTAATCAAATCTTAACAAGGTCGCCGGCAGCTGTTGCTTCTCTTCGGCGGCGGCGGCAACGGCGATGGCGGCGGTGCAACAGCGTTTGCGGCAGGTTTTGCTCCTCCTCTTCCTCCTTCTCCGGCAGTGACAGCATTGGCATCTCTACTTCTCCTCTTTCTTCTCCGGCAACGACGGCGGCGGGCACGGCGTGATCTCCTCCTCCAGCTTCTCCGGCAGCAGCGGCGAAGCTGGCTTCTTGTTCTTCCTCTCTTTTTTCTTCTTCGGCGCTCCTTCTCTGGCGGTGGCAGCAGATGGGGGAGAAAAAATTTGAATTTATTTTGTTAAACAATTTTTAATAATTGCATACTTCCTCTTCGGATTTGGTCTCGAAAATCCCGAAACTATTTTTCGAAACCACCAAAATGGCAACGAGATTTACTCCTCCGGTCCCATTCGGAAGCGAATTCCGAGGCTTTAAAAAATTAACCTCGGATCTATTTCAAAATCTGAAACAATTTTCCGAAAGGTAGTAAACAATTTCTGGTAGTGACATTTTAAATTTCATCATTTCTATTTTCCTTAATATTAATCAAACTAGTTATCTTAATTTTAATTGAACTAGCTATCTTAATCTATAATTATTTTTATTGTACGATAAGATTTTTAGTAATACACTTTTTAAATTATTGATTATATTTTACTAAATTCCGGTATCTACTCTAATAGACCCAAATTATCTAGTACTGAGGGAGTATTATATAGTACCTTAAAAAATTGAGAAATAAAATAAAATAAAATCGTCAATGGCTACATAATATGTGGGATGGAGAGAGAGTAGAACACAATATGTTTTGAGTCTTCAATCTTCACTGCATTGTCTCTTTTTTCTTTTTTTTTTCTTTTCTTTTCTTTTTGATTTTTTCACATTCTTACATCTATTTTGTTGCTATACATAATTGCCTAATGTCTATTATTGTGTGTTGTCATGACTAAATGGTTTCTAAATTGTGAATGTGCAAATACTTTATCAAGACTTGGTCTTGAAACACAAATATTATAGCATTCTTTTGTGCCTTTTATTTTCTCATCAGACTCAAACTTTGTGCAAATCATCTTCGTTTTGAAGTTATATATGTGGTTTATTATGTCATGGTATTAATCAAATTTAGTTTCTTGTCCGCATTATAATTTACGAGATGCATAAAATGGTAAAAGAAAGGAGGCGATCATTGAAAGGAAAGCGGGATTCATTGATCCTGGTGTAGCCCCATTTGGTGTGAACAAACTCTTTGCAATTATTAAATAAATGTATCTAAACTTTATTTGTTTAATATGCTTTTATAGACAAATAAATGGGCATGAAAAAATATATCAATATATATATATGCTCTCATATAAACAAATTTATACCTAAGCCATTGCATATGCTCTTACTACTTGATTATATATAACTAAAAGATGCTATGAAATTTATTTAAATAAATTAGATAGTCTAAGGCTCCGTTTGGATTAGTTTTTGAGAGGGGCGTTTGGTTTTTACTTCTAAAAAAAGTGGCTTTCTACGTGTTTGTATTGGCTTCTGTCCAATTTCCAACATGATAGGAAACTGCACGGCCTCCATAACCTTTCTTCTGTATTCAAATTCAACTATGGCGTAGGAGGATCCTTCTCTTACTCACAAGTCCGCTCACATACGCAAATTAATCTTTGATCCCCACCCTACTCACTCCTACCTTAAAAAAGGGGCATATGAAGTTTCCGATTCAGTGAGATAACTTCAACATTCTTATTTGTTTTCTCTGTTTTTCTATTCCTAGAAATCAATATGATTTATTTGATTATTTAATTTGAATTCTTTCTTAGTTTTTCATTTATCAATAACCATATGCTCATTAGCCAATGACTTGTTTAGCGCTACACACTGTTCTTGAGACTTCAATTTTCAGATGAATTATGCTGGATGTGCTTGTTTTGTTGTCTCCCTTTCTCATGTATTATATATATCTAATTATTTAAGTATGTATTTAATGAATACAAAATATGTTGTATTTATTTCAATATTTATACATTCATATAATATTTATAAAATTTGCCCTCTATTATTGTATTTACTATCACTTTAAATTTGATAGATTCTGATATTAATATATTTTTCTTTATTTACACCGTAATCATCTTATTTTTATTTTAGTAAAGACAATTTATAAAATATTATAAGTAAATGTAAGATTAAAAATAATTTATGGTGGGTAAATTAGTTTTCTTAGTTTTGCATTGATGTCTTATCATTTTACAACTCTAAATGGATTTTATTTGAAAATTATCTTGCAAGAAAAAAACTTTCATTGAAATAGTCCTCCGGTACGGATTTGCCACCATGTCTCGCCCATGCTGATGTGGTGTTGACATGGATGAAATGTCAGCCGTCACGTCCATCTTCTTCTTCCTTCCCTATCTATCTTCCTTCCTGACCCGAGGCTCCTCCACCCACCTCTCTTCCTGTCGGAATCCTCCACCCCCTAAAAATTCTCCACTGGAAACCAATCACCTTTACAACTTTCGAAAACTCCACAAATCCTCAACTCATTTGTTTAATTTAATAATGCTTACAGAAAATTTGATTTACCGAAGATCCATTCCCACACACAAAGAATGAAACGCAAACATTATTTTAAATATCAACAACAATGAATTTCCATATATCATAAACACGACAAGAAACAACTATGGCAAAATTGGATCAAATTAGAACACACTATAGCAAAATTTCTCATGCAACCACTACCAAACAATTTTAACCAATCAATCTGATAGAAAAATCACAAAGGGAAAAGTTTGTACTACATTTTCAATACTATGAACAATTTTCTTCACCCAGAAGTAGAAGTCAAGGAAATTGATTGGATTGTAATAAAAAAAACATGCCTGACCTTGTTATCGATTTCTAAATTATTCTTATGCTCCAAAATTTGTGCCCTAGCCTTCTTCGATGCCAATAACATATCCGGCGGTTTGATGAAATCTAGGTCTTATAAAGACGCTGCCAGCTTCCTCACCGACCAGGGAGATGAAGGCATTGGAATTTCCGGTTGGTGGCTGCGTTGATTGCTTGGAGGGGTGTTTTTACAACATTTTTGAAATTATAAGTAAGTAAATTGGAATTTTAGTACTACAAGAGTTTTAAGCAAATTCAGTAAACCACAGTATTTTTTTCTATTTTGCTTCTTTTTTTTTCCATAATTTTTTCTTTTACAATTTTGACTGGTAAAGCAATTTCTAAAAGTATTGACTGATAAATTGTAAATTTTCTTACAATTTGATCTAATTTTAACCAAAGTTAAAATTCTGATTTTGAATGGAAAAAAAATCCACAGGTATCACGGATGTGACGCTGACATTGGGTGGCAAATTCAGCATCGAAAGCCTATTTAAAAAAATTATATATATATGGCGGCCTATTTTCAAACAGGATCATTAAGTCGTAAGTAGCAGGAACGCCATATCTATAGACTCCACCCCCGCCGTCTATTCACAAAAATATATATCTTTTTATTTTTGATTGTTGAATTATAAAGTAACAACTTTTTTTTTAGTAATTGTAGACAACACTCCGTATTAAACATACTCTTATGTTTATAATTATTTTACATAAATACTATTACACCCACCTTTTTTTAATCGTAGGAGTATATTTGTCTCATTAAAATACAATAGTTTTTAAAATGGAGAAAAAGAATAATATTGACAAAGAATTGTACCATCAAAAAATAGATTAGGTGATCAAACAATGTAATTCACATGAATAAAATAAATAAATAAATTGGGTTGTGTTCATTTTATAGATAATTTACTTCAATTTAGGATGTCTTCAAATTAATATAATTAATCCAGCCATACTACTTTATGCCTTCAAATAAATCCAACAATATCCAAGAAATGAGAAATAATACACAACAAAACCAACAAATGGGAAGCAGCATGGCTCAATTCCAACAAATAAAAAACAATAAAACACATCAATACCAGTAGGACTCAAATTTAATTACAACATAACCCAATGGCCAAAAAAGCAAAATAGATCAATTCCAGCAATTCATAACCCATATAAACAAGCACACATTTGATCAAATAAAACACAAATCTCTCACATCTTCTAAGAAAAAAATGCACACAACACCATGTTTTTAAGCACAGAACCGATATTAAAATCCAGGTGGTTGGGAGGGGAAAGACTTACAGTTGAATAGATCCATAGAGCTCCTATCTGAATGTGTCAACTCTATTGCGTTACAAATGCAAGAATTTAGAATGTTTCAAAAGATTGGATGTAATTAATAGTGAAATAAAGAAAGCAAACACTATACGGGCGGTGGGCTAATAGGGTCCTTTGATGAGTGGCTAGCATTTGCAGATGGGGTTGCATCCATTTCCTCTTCCAAACAAATTTCTTGTTTTACATGCACAAGTTCTACCTTCGTTAGGATTACTTGCCCGGAGGCACCCATTTTCTCCTTGGCAATACCTCCCATCGGCTTCCCAAACCCTAAACCATTGAGATGGAATATTAAACTAAAAAAATATTGAAAGCCATATGACATGCAATTTATATTATTTTCCTCGAATGTAGTTAAAACTAATAAGATAATAAGACATAAAGCACATAGTAATAAAAATATCTAGAGAGTATGTCAACTCCGTTCATTTACAAATGCAAGAATTTAAAATTCTTTCAAAGATCAAATATAAGGGAAACAACTAAAGCAAAAAGTATTCCAGGGGGAGGCATCTTTGGGCTAGCAGGGATCAGTTTCCTTCCTATGATTGGCTCTTTCTCTTTCCCTTTTCCTTTTCCATATCGTTTCTCATTTATAGTATCTAACAAATTATAAGATTAATATAAAATTGGCTTTGATTGATACCATGGCATAAAATAAACCCCATATGCAACTTCATAAGGTATAATTTTCAGATTATAACTGTTAAGGAAAATAACATACACGCAAATAGCTACAATATTCATGTTTCAAGACCAAACTCTTAATAGATTGTTTGCACATTCATATTTTAGAGACCAACCACTGCTACTCATGAGAACAAACGAAAATAAACACTAGCCTATTCACTAAAGCAACTAAACAAATGTAAGAAATAGGACAATATTTACGAAAACAAAATACCATTGAATCTATTGTTAACGTTAGAAAACTAGAGGAAATAAGTAGGGAGGTAGAAGTTATCTCACCATTATGGATATCGGAAATAGAGACTCCCTTTCTTTGAGGCATCCCCATGGCTGCAGTTCGAGGAGCTGATCCCATTTCAGAAATCTCCTCAACCCCAACATTATAGCAGTTCTGATTGTTCAGTTGTCGCACTGGATAGGTGAAGCAAGTTCTTTCGCAACCACTTGGATCATATATTTGAACAGACATGTGCCTCTCTCCTACATAGTTAAATATCAAGGAACATCCCCCCTCAAGAGCATGGTCCCTATAAAATATTTCCCATCCCAATGCGAATGATAATGCATTGTCAACATATGATAGAGTCACAGGCCATATCTGCCCACATAAATCCTCAAGGAGGATTTCTTGGTCCACCAAGTGCTCCACCTTTGGAGCAAATGAAGATGGCAAGCGCTGCAAAAATATTAAATTTTTTACAAGGATGCATGCTTTATAAAAATTGCAGAAATTATAAAAGAATTTCATCTACACATATCAACAATTTTGCTACTAAACATCCTAAAACTATAAAACTTAGTACCCAACAAGTTTGTGGGGGTGATGAGAGGATAGTTGTGTAATGTAGTAAATTACTTAAAGTTCAATAATTGTTCGCCAAACTATGTTTACATCCCATAATAATAGACACTACATATTACAATGTGATTACAAGCAGCATTCTCCCAAAGGTTAAGAATAAGAAGTCCAAAAATTCAACATGAATGAGAGAGTACCAGTGCATGTAAGACATGAGCATCATTCAGTACATGGAAAAAACGGGGAATTGACGGTGATAACTCCTTCTCTGTCAGATGAGATATGGAGCCCTCATGACGTTTATAAGCCATCTTTTTTGGTTTTTGGATTTTTTTAACCTTGATTTACCTAGATGTTACTGAAAAGAAGAACATTCAAAAATCACTTTAAATTGTTTCAAAATAACTGCCACTCCAAATCCCAAGATTTAATAACCCAAGAACCGATATATATATATATATATTAACATTATTTATATAAGCTTTTTTCATTGATACCTGATCATAGATATGGCACCATTTATCCATTGTGAACATACACCTTCTGCTCCATCGTGGTCCTGATTTGATCGCCCTCGATCGAGTTGTATTCTAGGAGCAGCCGGTGTAAATTTGCTTTGGATCTTCCTAAGCTGCGTTCAAACACAAACCAAGACATCCCTATAGGATTGAGTATATAATTTTCCAAAAAAGAAAAACCACAGCTTAGATCAGATCTAATTTTAACAAAAACAAAAAAAAACTTAAAGAAAATAAAATGTAAGAAAAATCATAAAAATAATGGGATGTGGTTTTCTTATAATTAGATCTGATGCTCATCTTATCGATTCTAAATTTTTTAATGAGAGAATCATTTATAAAGTAGATCAACCAAGAAATCAAAACCTTAAGTTCACTTTCCTTGAAAAAACCCCAAATCGATGAAACAATAATCATAATAAATCATTTAAAAATCCACCAACTCTTATATCAAAACCCTAGTTTTACTTTCCATGAAAGAAAAAGTCGAGATTGTGAAAAGAGAAAGGATAGAGTAGAGAAAGAGATGGAGATCACATCCAGAACATGGAACCATATATTACCTTCAGATGGACAAATTAAGGAGCCGGAGAATTAAAGCGCAACTCAAGGGATCTGCAAGATAGAAATCAACAATTCTGAGTTTTACAGAAAGAAAAGACACTACAAATGACTTCCTCACGTATATATCGTCAAGGGGAAGCCTTGGTATATATAGATAGATATAGATATAAGTCTGCCAGCAGCGATATTGGAATGGCCATACAAACTAAGAAATGGGTTTCGAGGGTGTGAAGAGTGGAAATGGACGCAGGGGTTTTATAGAGAGGGTATTTTTGATAATTATTGCGGCGCCTGGCCTCAACTGCAGTTCTTCGTTTAGGGCAAGGGCAACACGTCTTCTCTTGCTGCACACAAATTAGGGTTTTCCAATAGGGCTTTGATTTTCATTTTTTTATATGGACAGTTTGTCAAAAAAAAAAATCCCAATTCACTATTTTTTATCTTCTTGTCTTTAGGTTATTTTTATAGAGGATGAAAATAATAATACAGGCCCAAATTATAGTTGTATAATTCCATACATATGAATATATATGTATATATATATTACTAATGCCTTGTCTTGTCTTGTCTTGGTACGCTATTAAAGCAAGACGGTGGAGCGAGCTAGCAAAACGCAGACATCATTCTACATTGGCTGCGAAGATTAACTAGGGATTCAATGAAAACTACAAAGTTTCTTGGGGAATTATATATATTTAATACTGCCCTGTTGATGTTCATTCTTCAGAAGAAATCTTCAACCATCTACGCATATTTTCATTAGTAGGAATACAAACAACCAGTTTGATCTTTGTCACCAATGGTAGAGGATTCAGGGATCCATTAGTGTAGTGCTGAGCAAAACTTAACATTTGACATCTCAATTTGAATCAAGAATGTAAGCATATATACGGAGCGGTAATAAATCTGAACTCAACTACTTGTAATGCGACATCGTATTTAGTATTAGAGGTCTTGGTATTCCATGAGCTAGGATGAGCAGGCCATGCCAACCTCGTCGCCAAAATCTGTAAGACAAGATCGGATGTTAACAGGAAGTAAGCAAATAAGCTGCATAGCAGTATATTATTCAATCATATATATTTCCGTGACCACCTGGTAGGAACTGGAATATATTTCGGCAATGGTAGCTAAACAACATTTACCTCATGTAAGATCTTTGCGGAGGGCTTAAGACAGCATACTTTAGCAGTTTAATTCAGGCTGGAGTGATCATTAATAGACCGAGTGGCTGTGACAGAATATGTTTGTATCATAAAGTAAGTATACATGCACAAGACTTGTCGAATATTGGAGACTGCAACTCTCTTCCAACATTTTATATATACAGCATCTGATAGAAAATATTTTCAGCATCAGTTTATCTAGTAGATCAACTTGCAGAAACCCACCTGTCCAAGAAAAGTGAGAGAATATGGTACTTCTTAGGACCACCTTAAAGGTTCATTAGTTCATCTTGACACATTTAAAACAGCAGCACTTACTGTGCTAATTAGAATTAATCCTAATTATTATATAATAAAAAGACCCAAAGCACGTGCTCTAATTGCTTGTAACACAAAAATACATGTTGACATAGTATCAATACTGACAATGCATGCCATCATTGATCTTATCATATATCACACGTAGCACTATACATAGCATTGACTGGCGACGCATGATAATAGCATTAATTCTAGCCATATCTTATGTATACATTTACTATGTGATAAGTAGAGTCAATTAGGACCTTAACTATCCCTAAAACAATTCTGAGCTCTAGAAATTAGATATAAGAGACATAATATATATATATATCCAAATCTAAGTGTTGTTGGTACATAAGGGAACCTTATAAGAACACATTACACTGACATTTTGAATATACATATATACGCCAAAATTAGACAAAAATAATTTATCAAGGTTTAATAATAGATATTTAAAGTTTATTTTGACTTTATTGAATCAAACATAGAGTAGTTAATTTAGTTTGGATACCGACGTTATTTCCGTTAATATTTTCTAAAATTAAGCTACTTTCAATTAATTGAATCCCATTTTATTGGTAAACGTAAAAGGGGTTAGTTATATCCGCAATTACAATAAATAGCATGTTCATTATTGTATGTCAAACAAAGAAGTGTAATGTGTAAGAAATGACAAGTTTCCGCAATCATACGTAACAAACTTCTATCCATGCAAATATTTGGATAACCTAAAAGTTAGGGCGGCGGAAGTATTCTTAAATCACAGTTGTGTCACGAGTGATTTTACTAGGGAAATTTTTACAATTTAATAAATATGCTACCAGTGGAAAGTTCTAGTGTCCTAATTAAAATTTGAAGTGTCACTAATATCTATTTAAATTAAAAAAGATAAATTGTTCGTATGTTTTTTTAATAAAATTAAACCTATTAGTTAATTTTATTTGTAAGTTTATATATAATGATACCGGTAAAAAATATTTATAGAGCTATCGCTGCCTAAAAGTATAGAACAATATAATACAATGTTGTACATAAATCATATAAAGTGATTTTACCAGGTAGGAGTATAAATTTCCCTTTTATATTATTACGATGTAGTAAGAGGATTACCTGCGGCGGGATAAAATCTGGGGAATGTGTACATATATAGGCTACAGCATTTTCTGTGTAGAAAATGCAGTATAACAGCTTCTACAAAGTTAAGAAGTTGAATGGTCAGTTCCTGTTGTAGTTGAAAGAAAAATTAGAAGGATTTGAATCACATTGATTAACCAACAAAAACATAAGCAAAAAAATCTGATTGAAAAATAAAAATGAGAGGAGACAATAGGGAAAGAAAACCCATTTAAAATATAATTACATTAAGCATGTTTTGTACTAATTTTCTAATCACAACAAGAACTGAAATAGAACGCACTCTGATGCATTAGAGATACTGTGCTTCCCTTCGCCAAAATTAGCAAAAGTCGTAGAACTAATATAGCCTAAGGCTACATAAGCAGTAGTATGCTTCTATTTACAATCTTTAGAAAGATTGTGTTGGCGCAGAAATAGAAAAACAGGACAAGTTCTCAAACAATTCTCACTTCTTGACAATGATACCAAATACATCATATTTAAACTACCACGCAAACGCTACTACATAATTGATTTTAAAAGCAATTTAAAGGCATATAAGTGCGCTGGAAGGACCGTGTTGACCTACGAGGCCAGTCTACAATTACGATACGTCCGGCTTTGCGTAGCTTTACAGGCTGGAGTATCGCACTATCCTACCACACCAACTCAATCAGAAGTATTTTTGTTATTTCAAAATGAAAACATTCATTTTAATATAAATTTTAATGATTAAATATAAGAGTAAGAAAGAGATATGAAAATGAATCTATGTTACAGTGGTTCATGTTGCGAATCAAGATAGAAATTGCCACCAAACTAGGTTGTAAACAATGGAGACGAACAGAGCAGAGAGGAGAGGACGTGCAGTGCTTCTTTTTTGGATAAACTTCAAAGTCCTTCATATTGTTCAAGGGGAAACATCTCAATATATTGAGATTACATTCCAAGATAAATATGGAATAATTATTAATCAAATCCACCTTTTAAAACTGAATATAGTAATTAATAAATATAAAATATATCCTAATTATTTTTGAATCAAATCTTAACACTCCCCCTTGATTCGAAAGTGCAAACACCAAGCTTCGATCGGAAGTGAATATGCTTGTCTCGAGTAAGTGACTTGGTCATGATGTCAGCCACCTGCTCATGCGTACTGCAATACTTTGAAGTTACTAAATTCATTGACACAAGATCTCGAATAAAGTGTACTCGAATATCTATATCTATGTGCTTTGTCCTTCCATGGTAGGTTGGATTCTTCGACATGGAAATCACTGCGTTATTGTCACAAAATATCTCCGTTGGTTCAGATTGGACTTGAGCAAAATCTGCAAGAATACGACGTAGCCAAACTGCTTGACAGGCTGATGTTGTCGCTGCTGCGTATTCAGCTTCAGACGTTGAAAGTGCTGTAGATTCTTGCTTCTTCGAACTCCAACATATCGAACCAGATCCAAGACTAAACACGTAACCAGAGGTGCTTCTTCTGTCCTCCAAACATCGTGCCCAATCGCTGTCCGTATAACCGATCAACTTGAAATCGGATGCATGGCTATACCATAATCCAAATTGGACTGTTCCAGCAACATAGTGTAACACTCTTTTTGCAGCACCAAAGTGATGTTGTGAAGGGGAATGCATAAACCTGAAAAGTACATTCCAAATAAACATGGAATAATTATTAGTCTAATTCACCTTCTTAAACTAAATATAGTAAAAAATAAATATAAAATATATCCAAATTATTTTTTAATCAAATCTTAACAAGGTCGCCGGCAGCTGTTGCTTCTCTTCGGCGGCGGCGGCAACGGCGATGGCGGCGGTGCAACAGCATTTGCGGCAGGTTTTGCTCCTCCTCTTCCTCCTTCTCCGGCAGTGACAGCATTGGCATCTCTACTTCTCCTCTTTCTTCTCCGGCAACGACGGCGGCGGGCACGGCGTGATCTCCTCCTCCTCCAGCTTCTCCGGCAGCAGCGGCGAAGCTGGCTTCTTGTTCTTCCTCTCTTTTTTCTTCTACGGCGCTCCTTCTCTGGCGGTGGCAGCAGATGGGGGAGAAAAAAATTGAATTTATTTTGTTAAACAATTTTTAATAATTGCATACTTCCTTTTCGGATTTGGTCTCGAAAATCCCGAAACTATTTTCCGAGACCACCAAAATGGCAACGAAATTTACTCCTCCGGTCCCATTCGGAAGCGAATTCCGAGGCATTAAAAAATTAACCTCGGATCTATTTCAAAATCTGAAACAATTCTCCGAAAGGTATTAAACAATTTCTGGTAGTGACATTTTAAATTTCATCATAATTGCTTCTTGACCCTTCAGGTATGAGTCTAGGTGAAGATGGTGATGACGAGCCTAAAGAATATGGTGAAGGCAGCTGCTGTATCTCCCTTCCAATGTTCTCATTTTCACCAAAAGCTCAAACAGCAATGTTCCTTGAGCTGTTATCCCACTTCCAGCTTGCTTTTCATCAAAAACCACATTTCTACTTATGATAACTTTGCCCGCAATAGGATCGTACAATATATAGGCTTTGGATTGTGAACAATAGCCAAGAAAAATGCATTTTGTTGATTTCTTCATCAAGCTTACTCTCGGAGTCCTTCGATTCCAAGCCTCATATGGTGGCGGTTCAAAACAGACTTTGTAGGAGATAAATTAAGAAAATACACTGCTGTCGCTACTGCCTCAGCCCAAAACATATCTGGAAGTCCTTTGGAATTCAGCAAGCTTCTTGCCATCTCCACGACTGTTCTAATTTTGCGCTCGACGACACCATTTTGCTCCGGAGTGTATGGGGCTGTTAATTCTCTTCGTATGCCATGCTCATCACAAAATTGATTAAACTTGTGAGATACAAACTCACCACCTCTGTCTGTACGCAGCGCCTTTACATATTTTCCGGATTGATTTTCCACAAGAGCCTTGAATTTTTTGAACATATCGAATGTTTCTGAATTGGCTTGTAGAAAATAAACCCAGCTCATCCGACTCTAATCATCGGTTAGCAACAAGAAGAATCTGCTCCCACCGAGAGATTTTGTTATCATCGGGCTTACCAAATCTGCATGTATAAGCTCAAGACAAGTAGATGCACGTCTAGAAAGTCCTATCGGAAAAGATCTCTTTGCTTGTTTGCCAAGAACACAGCCCTCACATAACTCCAAGGATTCAATTTTAGGCAAGCCATAAACCATATCCTTTTGACTCAACAATTTCAAACCATTCACATTTAAATGCCCATACCTTAAATGCCACAATTTAGACTCGCAGGCTGCTTTGGCACCAAGTACACGTTCATCAACTTTCGACACTTCAAGTGGAAATAATTTGTTTGCCGTCATCTGAATATTGACAATCACTCGACCAGATATTTTTATGTCTAATCACGCATGACGAATTGTCAAACAAAATGGCATATCCACTATCAATGAGTTGCCCAACACTCAACAAATTTTGAGTCAGCGTAGGAACAAAATAAACATCATAAAGGAGCTTCAAATCATTCATGACTTCAACGATGCCTCTGCTCTCAACTTGCATTTGTTTATTACCCCGATCATTCATGACTTCAACGATGCCTCTGCTCTCCGAGCCTTACTTGTAACTTGTAAGTTTCGTCAATCTCCTTAAACAACGACTTTATCCCTGTCATGTGATTAGAACAACCGCTATCCACAAACCATA